TTTTAAATTCCTTAATAATTCTGTATACATTAATTTTTTAAAAAATTATAAAAAATAAATCATTATAAAACATACAGAATTTTGATATAGAATCATTAATTACGTATACAAACCTTATAAAAAATATATCATTTTCTTATTTCGATTTCTTATAGGGCTATAACTTTCTGTCTTACCTGTATTAGAAACTATTAGAAACCATACAAGTATAGAATATTTCTTATAAAATACATACATGTATGGTTTTTAAGATATACATATCATACATACAAAAAAAAAAACTATACTATATATACATTCAAAATTATACTATACATGTTGTGTAATATCCTGATCAAGAAGTATTTATAATTTTATGCATAATCAATTCTTGAAGATGTTTTGAAATACCATATACATAGTGGATCAAACTTCTTTTATATAAATAATGATATTAAGGGTATTATACAAACCATTATAGAACAGTTAGTAATGTATGTATTGTATAGTTTTTTTTAATGTATGTATGGTATATATGCTTTAAAATCATACATATATAGTTTCTAGAAAATGCAATTCTATACATGTATGAATTTTCGATACTAACCGATTTTTCTATTTTTTCATTAAACTTATAATATCAAAAATACAAAAATATCTTTTAACATATTTAATTTTTATTTTTTTAAGAAAAATGCTTTTTATTTATTTTAATATTTATTGATTATATAATCATAATTTTAACTATATTGTTATCTGAAAAATAGGATGTTTATTTTTAGGTATGAGTTTATTATGTTATAAATGCTTAGTCGATTTGATGAAATATCCTTAATCGCTGCTGCCACCTATCGTCAAAGATTATAAATTCATCATGACCTTTTTAAGCTGAATCACATGGTAATTCATTTAAGTATAAAGACTTAATGAACCATGATAGAGGTAATACATAAGTGGGTTATACAAACATTATGAGAAATAAATAAAAGATTAATTTTGTTAAAGAAAGTGTTTTATTAAAATATATAACGTTATAAGTGATTGCACAATCATTAATACTAATTCTTCGCATTATATTACTCCTAGATTAATTACTTCTCCAGATCGCCTCTTCTTTAATAATCCTAACTTGTCCTATTTATACATTTAGAATTGATCTAAAATTACAGATATATTAGATAATTATTACATAAGGATTGCCTTTAACTATCTAATCATTGCACAATTATTACTACATATTTCATTGCATAGTTACTACATCATGGCTATATAAGAATACTAATTTCCTAGCTATGATTTAATATCTTTTCATAATTACTACATTTACTCCTAATTTTTAGATATAGCATATTGTATTATGTAACACTAATTTCATTGATCAACATTTCAATTTATGATTACATTTCTATTATGAGATCATTTCTGCGATTATAATGAATATTAATCATGCTTTTTGTATCACATTTCTGATCATGTGATATATTGTGCCTCATTTTCACTTGGGTAACAATATGAAATGTATTAATTTCTAATTATTTTCAAGCTCTTTACGTAATTTAATATTTTCTAATTCTAATTTTTCGATTTTAGCTTGAGCTCTACAATATGCTAATTACTTTTCAGCTAATTTTATCTTTCGTTCTTCAATATTAACTTCTAAATGTAAGTTATTTTCTTGTTCATTATTAGATTCATTAATATTAATTCAGGATTTTTTGACTTTAGAACTATCTAATATTGCTTTTCTTTTTATATCTTTTTTTATCAGATACTTCTTGATTAATTAAATTATGCATTATTTTTTCTAATAATTATTTTTAAAAAAAATTAAAATTAATTCATTACTAAATAAAAAAATAATAAAATACTTACTATTAGATTCTTCTTTTAATATTACTTTACAATTTCTTTTATGAGTACCTTTAAATTAAAAATTATTTAATAAAGTTATTAATAAAAAAAATTAACTTTATATCAGTTAATAGCTATTGCTTTTCTTTTAATTTCATTTTTGTCTCTTCTAGTATAAGGAACTCCAGATTTATTATAAATTTCTTTTATTTTAAAAAGACATTCATCTAATTTTTTACCTCTATAAAAATAATAAAAATAAATATATTTAAAATTTTTATTTTAAAATTAAAAAAAAATAAAAATATAAAATATTATCATAAAATTGCTATAATAAGTTTTAATTGTTTTCCTTCTCTATTAGCTTGAGCATATGCAGGCTCTGCTATATTAGTATTATTATCATATTGTTTTCAAATTTCATTATTCATATTTGAAACATGTTTATTTAAAAATGCTAAAACATAAGGTTGACAATAATATTGAATCCAATCTAGAAAAATAATTTGTTAATTAAATTTATAAAATTACTATATCAATTAAAAATAAATAAATAAAAGATTACTTATAATCTGTTGATTATCAAAAGTTTCTAATTTTTCAAAACATTTATAAACCTCTTCAATATTAGTTTAATACTGCTAATGAATAAATTTCATTATTAAATTTTTTAGCTCTCAAGTTTTAAAATAAAAAAAAATTAATAATTTAAAAATTTAAAATATAAAATTTTTAAATTAAATAAAAAATACTTTACCAATTAAAATAAACTAAACATGATTTAAAAATATAAGTCAAATGTGTTTTCCAATTTTTACTAGAATCTTTTTTTGATAAAGCTAAACCTAATCCTTTTGCTTATCAAGATTACCTAAAATATATTTCCAACCTGTATCATTAATATGATAAAATTTTACAGGAATTTCATTTATATTTTCAATAATTTTAAAAAGTTGAGTAAATAATCATTCATATGCATTTGCTGTAAAAATATTGGTATAAATTCAACAATAAGAAAGAACTAAAAAAAAAATTAAAAAATTAATTAATATATAAAATAATAAAATAATAATATTAATAAATTACTTATTTAATTTATGCATATTATCATATGTATTAATTTCAAATTCATTAATATTTTCAGATATTCTCTTAAATATTAAATCAATCTGAAAGCATTTTAATTCTTATAATGCTTTTGCTTGAAAATCATATATACATATAATTAATGTTTGTCTATCTTCAAATTGTTCTAATTTAAAATTTATAAATTATTAATAAATAAAAAAAATTTATAATATTATAATTTTATAGAAAATATTATTTACTTATATGACAAACATAATTATGTAAATCAAATTTTTTATATTGAACACTATATAAAACTCCTAAATTACCTTGACCATAAGGATAAATATTTTTATAACATTTAGCAATAAGTGATTGAAGTTTATCTATATTATTTAATAATGCATGAACTTCTAATAAAGTATCTTTATCAAAAGTTGCTTTAACACTATTTCCTATTTAAAATAATATATATTAATATGGTATAATAATAATTAAATTAATATTATAATATTTAGAAAATTACTTGTAATAATTGAATGCGGTATTGCATTATCATTTGAAGTAATTATATTTTGAATCATTATTTGCAATTCATCTTTAATATTAGTAAGCGTACGATCAGGTAGTGGTAGTAGATGATTATGAATACCTATACATACTAATGTAATATAGGAACATGCAACTAAATCATATAGAATAAATTTAATAAATCAAATATCACATTTGCGTTCAATTATATTTTCTCTAACAACTTGATCATTTTGAATATGTGGAAATTCTATATAAAAATAAAAATTAATAATTAATGTAATTTAATCAAAAAAATTAATAATTTAATTATAATATAAATTTATTATTTACCGCAAAATTTACTTTTAGAAGAACGTGGAATTAAGGTATAGCATTTTTCATTAGTATTAGTATTATCAATCTAAATAAAAAATAATCATTATTTTTTATATTTAATTATATAAAAATATATATTGTATAATTAAAATACATACAATTTGTTCTTGAAAAAGATCGCATAATAATTTTAAATCAATCTCTTCTGAAATTTTAATATAATGATACCATTTTTTTCCTTTAATCCATTTATCACATCCAATAATATATTTTTTACTTTCATCAGCATTTTTAATAATTCTTCTTAATTTGCTTGTCTATTATAATTCTTATTATTATTCTTTTTATATTTGCAAACTGATGATTGAGCAGCAAGAAATAATCTATATTTATTTAATTAATTATTAGTAAAGGAAAATATAAAATATAAATCAATAAATATATAAAACTTACGTATAAGTTTTAATTTTTATATTATTTTTATTCCAATATTGATTGGCTTTAATAAAAGTCTTAGATTTCATATCAACTTCATTATATGATTCTTTAATAAATTCTAAGTTAGCAAAAGTACAATGCTTAATTTCTTGACATTTTCATTCATCCTTTTTAACTGATATTCCAAAAATAAGCAAATTTTAATTGAATTAGATCCTCCAATACCATTAATAAAATATTGTATCTAATAAAAAAAAATATTTAAAATTAAATAAAAGATATTAAAATAATTTTACAAACTTTTATCATAAAGAATACTTATATTACCATTGGATTTGACTAACTAGAAATATTGAAAATAGTAGCTACACCTTGTGGTGAAGTCTTTGAATATTTAATAGGAAAAGCTGAATGTATAACCTCTGTAACCGAAAGATTTCTTGTAAAAAAGGCTATTTGTTCACTTTCATTATCATTCTAAAAATTTTAAGAATTAAAAATTAAATATATATTATTAAAAAATAAATAAATAAAAAAAATAAAAGTAAACTGTTCATCTAATGATTTATAAGATTCGCTTTCTGATATAGTTTCATTATCAGAAATAATTTTAATATCAGAAGGTATAACAGGATTTATTTTAGACATAATGATAATGGTAGAAAGATTTAATTGAAAAAAAAACACAATAAACATGTTTATAAAAGATTGATTTTACATTTTAGCTAAAATAACAAATTTGGATATAAAATAGAAGGATTAAGAATCTATTTGTAAATAAATCAAGTTATCATGTAGGTGATTTTTGTAAATTTTTGAATTCTTCTAAATAAATATATTTGGACTGATTAACCTGGGAAAAAGGATAGTATTTAATTAAAAAAAAATTCAAAGAAAACAAATTTAAATATTAAGGAGTATATTATTTATTTATATATATTCGGTTAGCATATTAAGATACTGTTACAGAATAATTTTAGCAAGAAAATATGGCAAAGCAAATGATCAACATGTTTCATTAAATTGATCTACTAAAGAAATTACACAAGCAATTACACAGAATTGATCTACTGGATGATTTACAAATTGATCTACATATATTACGTGATATTCTTAACATTGTTGATATAGTTGACATTAATGACGTTATTGACATTAATAATATTATCAATATTGTTGACATAGTTGATATAATAGATATAATTTATTTATTTAATATATTTTAATTATTGTTATATGTAATTGAAAAGATATAAATACAGTAAATTTTAGAACTTGTAGAAAGTAGAAAGTTGGATTTTCTCTAGCTTAGTGCTAACATTCTTCTTATATATTTTATCCTTTTCTTTTATTTCTAGAGAATTTTATACTTGGCTTTGTATAATAATTCTTAAATCTTTATTTATTTATTTTATTATCAATAAACTGTTTTATCATTTATTGCTATGTGATCTATAAATGATAGCATAATATTTAACATCTGTGTGATGCATAAGTCTTAGCAATAAGCTGCAATCTAAGTGAAATTATAAACCTTTGTGAATTAAAGCAACAGTTAAGCTTTCATGACAACTACAGCTGTTGTAAATCTTTGTAAATATACAAGTCTTAGTGAATTACAGTTTGAATATGTCTGAGTGGAATCATTATAAGTTCAGGACTTAGGAATAAATCAATAGATTACTATATACATTAAAAAGAAACAACACTTGAACATCTCGTTTAACTGTAGCAATCCATCAAAATCGCACATTAACAGTACTAATAAAAATAAGGAAAAGTTTAAAGTTAAATCAAATTTCATTTTTAATTTAATCAAAGTTATACAAATATGTATAAAACTGCAATTTGTGTTATACATGTATACATGATAATCTACCGATCACTATATATATATATAGTAAACTTTATCTATACAATACATACATTGCTAACTGTATTGTATAGGTTTGCTATATTCCCTGATATTAATTAAGAACATATCTCAGTTCAAATCAAATGAATTATTTATCTCAATTTTTCTGCTAATTTTTTTAATTTAATTTTTTAAAATTGATTTACTATGTATCAACAATATTAATATTGATATTATATAATATCAGTATGAAATTTAGTCATATCTAATATTAAACATATTATAATATTTATACTATTTCATAACTTTTTAACTAAAGTAATATTAATAAAAATATCAAAAATTTCTAATTTCTGAATAAGCTTTTTAAATTATAATATCATTATCAAAAAAATATTTTTTTTCTTATGAAAATCATCAAAATAGATTAAAATTTCTACTTTAATCCAAATTTTATATATTAAATATTTTTATATATAAACAAGTTTGCTTTCCTATTTTTTCTCATATAATATACTTATTTTATATATATTAAAAATATTTAAAATTAAATGTTTTTTAAAATATTTCTAAATTTTTAATAATAAATTTTAAGTATAAAAATTTTTTTTAACTTGTTTTTACATTAGATTCTTATATGATTTTTTTTGTAAAATAAGTCCAGATTTAACATTAACTCAAAAAAAAATTTTTTTAGAGTTTTCTCCCTTTTTATTGCAAAGCTCCCATATATCTTTATTAAATAATATTCAATTTCCTATATAAATTTAAAATATATTGGAACTTATCAATAGAAAGAGGGAAAATCTAAAAAAAAGTTTTATGAGTTAAAGTTAAATATAGACTTATTTTACTAAAAAAAAATCATATTTAGCATATGAAGTAAAATTTTAATTTTTTTTAGATTTTCTCCTTTTTTATTAATAAGCTTCTATATGGTTAATTAGAAAATATTTGATAGGAAAATTACACAATCGATGCTTGTTTAAACCTATCCAAAATTTTATAATGAGTTTTAGTAAAGTTTTAATAAAGTTTTATCATAGTTTCTTTAATTTTAATATTTAATATGAAAGTTTCAGCATTTTAACATTTTATATAGTTTTGATATAAGTAATTATAAGATTTTAATATGGTTTCAGCAAAGTTTCAGCATTTCAGCATTATGGTAAATGAAAAAATCCTTTAATTTTTTTTAGCAAACTTAATTATAAAATAAAATAATCTATACTAATATTTAATATATTAAAAGATTTAAAAATAAATAAAATTTTGGTTATTAGTATATTATTATAAATTTTTATATTACTTAAAGTTTTATTATTTTGTTTTCAAATAGATTAAAAATATTAGTATTTATGATTATAGTATTATTTAATATTATATCAAGAAAGTATAGTTAAAGTAATTTGTGATTTAAAGTATAATTACAATCAATAAACTAAATTATTTTTAATAAAAAGCATCAAGTTTATAGTAAATAATATATAAAGAATCTGTTTATTAAAATATAAAAAAACATATTAAAAAATTTTATGAGAAAAAAAATTGTAATTGTAAATTTTATATAATATAAAACCTTTGTAATAGAAAAAGGAGAAACTACTAGAAAATTTAATTTTACTTTTATATGTTAAATATGATTTTTATGCTGAAATATATTCAAATTTAATATTAACCCATTTTTGATTTTTTCAGCAGTTTTCTTCCTTTTTATTGCAAATGCTCCATATGATTAATATTATTTTAACTATTTTTAAAAATGATAATAAAAAAATATATTTCAAATAATTTAAGTTTTTTAAAAAAATTTTCAAATTTAAATAATTTAAAGTAGTAAGGTGAAAATGGGGTTTCTGAGACAAAAATCCAAAAGATATCTAAAAAGGTTCCTGTTCGCCCACGAATCCATTTTAGCTATATAAATCAAATTATTAAATTCAAGCCTCTAGCATAATTTAACTCAAATATAGATGATAATATCGAACTTGACTAGGAATTAACTTATTTAATACCAAGAATTACAATGTTTGATTTAATCATTCTAGCCTGATTTTAATCCCAAATAATATTTCAAAAAAATTTTACTATTCTGTTTGCCTCAGGAGGGGCCATCAAAAATCAAAGAACAAAGTGACGTGATTTGTGTTGGGCCTGATATTGCAAATCTAATATAAATAATAACTTTTATGCTATTCTGCTTGCCTCTAGAGAGGCCATCGAAAATCAAGGAACAAAGTGATGCGATTTGAGCTAGACCTGACCATACAAGCCTAAAATGTATATAATATACTAAGTCTAATCTCGAAGAGGTTATATTTAGCTGTTATCTAGTTTGTAAATCAAAAGCTTAATAATTATATTCTAGCATATTATCAATTTATCAACATATAGGAAACTATTCTAGAGCTATTTCCTTTACACAAATCTGAGACAAAAAAGTCTAATCTTTCATCTATCTATATGTGAAATTTAACTGCAAAAAAAATCTAACCTCTCAACTAACTATATAATAAATCTATCTTTTACTAAAAGTCTAACCTCCTGAATTCATATCAAATATCAGGATCTTATCCCGAAGTCCATTAACATATTGAATCATATAATAGCTCCTAATATAAAGACGACAATGATCATAAGATGATCTAATAGGCTTACCACATCCTGATTCCATGCAAGACTGGCGTTTTTTAGTCCTATTCTCTCATAATTTTGAAAAAAAAGGTAATTGAATATTAGGGTTATATGATTAATTAATTTAAATTGAGCAAAAGTTTACACATATATTAGAGGTTAGACTTATTATAGTACCATGGTTAGAAAAGACAAAAAAAATTGTAAATGTATTTGCTGTAATAAGACTTTTGCCACACCTCAAAAACTTCGTCAGCATTACAAAAGTAATAAAAATCAATGTATACTAAAGCAAGCTCTAGCTTCTGAGACTTCTAGTCAAAGGGAGGGTCAAAGGAGAGACCTAGCGTAATTGAGCGACAAGACGCTGTTAGTGATAGTCTTGTTATGATGCATGATACTGTGCTTAACCTAATTAATGAATGGTAATCATGTCAATCACGAATCTCAACTTTTTACCGTTTTTCTGATTTCTCAGATTTTATTAATTTCTTAGTGATCTTCAATTTCTCTAATTTCACATATTTCTTTAATATATTTAATATCTTTGTTTTCTTATATTTCTTATATTTCTTTACTATCTTAAATATCTATTTTGTATTAATGTATTTTATATAAATATCTTGTATTTCTGTCTCAATAAATGGCAGAGTTGCTACTAATTCTCTAATAAATCAATAACATTTATCTTTAAAACTTATTTTTGCTCGTTAAACAATTCATTCTTCTTTAAATCTATATCAATAAAGACGATATGACCCTTCAATATAATTATTTGTGTTTATTTCTTCCATAGTTTAGACGTACTTAAACTCCCTGCTAGCAAATAATCTTTGTTAACTTAATGATGAACAGTTTAAGCTTAACAAGTGGTGATTCCTGCCAGGCTATTCTTTATTGATAATATACATAACGAACCGCTGACGAACTAGCAAAGTGTATGAATTTTGAAGAAGTTGAACATAATACAACTGAGCATATTATTAGGCACTATTTTAAGATTATACCATGATTGCCCGAAAGCTAATTTTCTGAATATACCTTTTCCCGAAGTCATATTTCCCGAATGACAATTTTCCAAACTGGACCTTTTACCAAAATATCCAATTACCCGAACGCCAATTTCCTGAAACCTAATTTCCTGATTGCATGAAATATC